TCTATTTTGGACCGGTCGTAAGCACAATTTATAAGTTAGAAAACGTAACCTGAACTGATGAAACGTAACGTAACTGATGAAAGGTAAATGGAAAGCGTATGTATATATGGTTTACATAATAGAAGAAATAATATGAATATGAGTAAATATTAAATACTAGAAAAAGAAAAAATTAGGAATAGAGATTAAACGTAACGCACAATAAATACAATTAATAAAATATGGTTCACAAAATATGTATAATATGTCTCATATCCTATTTGTATCTATTAAGCATTTACACATTCATTTCCTTTAATTTTTTATTTCTAACATTTAATATTTATTCCTATATTTGGGAAGTTCTTAATCTTTTCTATTATATGCAGGACTTATATTATAACCTACAAAGATATCTCACCCGACGATTTTTGCGTCATATTGTCCAAAGGTTAGGACAGAAGGCGCGTATTTTCCCTCGATCCGAGGGACACTCCAAAGAAAGAAAAAATCACCCGACGATTGACGATAAAAAATGCAGATAAATGAAAAAGTTACATTACTGCAATTTATTGAATTTTGTTGCGAAAGCAATGATGAAGATGATGATTTAGAATTTTTAATGAATATGTCTTCAAGTAATGACGAGAGCGAAGAGAAAGAAGTAGAAGATTTTATTACAGTTGTTGATTTAGGTCTAAACAGACAAAAGTGAAACACAAATTAGACCTCGCGTCAAAGACTATGTGGAAAGAATTGTTTCTAATTATACTGCTGAAGAATTTAAAATGCACTTCAGGTACAGTCAATGACCGTTGCTCAAGTTCAAAAAAACATTATAATATCATAACAATTATTATTTTAGAATAATTGTTAACATAAATTGTGAAATTCCAATTGCTTTATTTACAGATTATTTCCTGCAACCTTTGAATTCTTATTGGAATTAATAGGACCTATATTAATTACATCACTTAGTGGCAGAAAGCCTGTACCAGTCCAGAAACAGCTTCTGTTAGCTTTATGGATGATGGCAACACCAGATTCATATAGGTATAGTAACATATCTTAGCTCCTCGTCAAGAGAAAGTTTTTTATTGTATAATTTTTTCATTATATGAAATACGAATTATAGGTCTGTGTGTGTGAAATTCGATGTAGGAAAAGCTACAGCCATTCGTATTATGAGGAGAGTTACTTATGCCTTGCACACTCTTGCTCCACGATTTATTCAGTGGCCTCAGGGTGAGAAAGCAACCAAAGTAATGGAAGAATTTGAAAGAGCTAGTGGATTTCCTAAAGTTATAGAAAAATGGCAACTTGTGCAGCGTACCGTCCAGCATTTTTGGAAACGGTGGGCGGCTGAATACATCGCCAATTTACAAAACCGAACGAAATGGAAAGGAAAACAACCCAATCTACAAATGAACGACTTAGTTTTGATACGAGACGACAATGCACCCCCATTGAAATGGAAATTAGGACGAGTGATCGAGCTACATCCCGGACACGACGGTTTCATCCGAGTGGTCACGATCCGTACAGGAAACGGGATCTACAAACGATCTGTAGTCAAACTATGCAAATTACCCGTCAACGAGGATGAGTAAATTAGCTTGCCTAATTGGTGGGCGGCTTATGTTGAGAGCTATACCGATCATCCACTCGACACGCGTGATTCGACGCAAGATAACTTATCGACTGCGTCGCCCAGCGAGCGACATCGCGTTGATTAAGAGCGAACTATATATAGATCACGTTACAATCTATTGTAACGTATTCATTAAGTGTATACTATAAAGGAATAAACTAAGCTTTATTCAGTGGAATCGAGTCTCCAGTTCAATTCGAAACATTGGTCCTTCGAGCCGAATAGGCTAAGGAAATCGTGAAATACAGTCCACAAGAAGCAAGGTCAAGGAATCGCGCACGACGCGCGAACAATCGCAAGTACACCGAAGTGAGGTTATACGCACACCGGCATGGGTGAGATAGAGAAACTTCACAAGAGACGAGGGGCAATCAAGGCCAAATTGACGAGATTGCAGTCAAAAATCAATCAATCGAGCGAGGATTAAACGAACAAGGAAGAAATCGAAGTCTACATTGCGAGACTAGAAGACATCTGGAACGAATTCCAATGCGTGCAGCGCGAGATCGTCGCCAGCACGGAAACTGAAGCCACCGTCGCGGAGAACACAGCAGAGGCTGAATTCGAAGAAAGATACTTCGAGTTAATCTCGAGTATTTAATTCAAAATAATCTAATAGCATCGTCACTCGTTCTACAGTCGATTTTATTGCATCATTATTAACAGTCTCATCGATAATTACACTATGTTCATTTGGCATATGTACCGGTAAACGAAAAATGGCATGACTCTTTTCTTGTAAAGGTTTGCTCAAAATGCGCCAACATGCTTCCACAGGCCCTACATAACGAGCTTTGACAAAATCTCGAATTTCATCATAAATTATCGTTTTATCTATATTTTCCCCAATAATTATAGATGCAGCATCGTGACTGTTGAGAGCTATACCGATCATCCACTCGACACGCGTGATTCGACGCAAGATAACTTATCGACTGCGTCGCCCAGCGAGCGACATCGCGTTGATTAAGAGCGAACTATATATAGACAATCTATTGTAACGTATTCATTAAGTGTATACTATAAAGGAATAAACTAAGCTTTATTCAGTGGAATCGAGTCTCCAGTTCAATTCGAAACACTCATATTGTCGGAGATGCTGCCTACGGTATTCATCCTCATATCATGGTGCCTTTTAAGGATAATGGGCATCTAACAGTCAGACAAAAAAATTTTAATTTTTGTCAGTCTTCAGCAAGAATTTCAATTGAAAGAGCAATTGGGCTATGGAAAGTACGCTGGAGAAGCATTCTTGATTGTTTGGCCATGGTCACCATAGAAGAAATTCCTGAATACTTAGTAGCTA